TTTGAAGCGAACAAACTGAGTGTTAATATGAGTAATGCCATCAAACAAATTTAATTCATTTTAATTTCATCAAGTATTGTGAATGTGAGCACAGAATATGTTTGTGACAAATTCATGTTGAATTTTGTTTGAACTTTTAATGTAAACGGAAAATGATTTGTGCTCGTTCATTCGAATGAGCACTCATGACAAATTTAATTAGTCATCAGCGAATAAAATATGTTAACCCTCTCACAAGGGAGAATAAATTCGAGTTACTCTTAATTTTGTGCGATTTATATTTTCCAAATAAATTTGAATTTTAATGTACATGAAGAAAAGAAAACGCCTTTTTTTACCTCCATCTTCGATATTTTTTTTTTTTTTTTGTTGAGAAAAACGATTTGTTGATGTACACGCTGAGATAAAATAACACATGTTATAATAGGACAACATGATTCAAAGAATGTTTTTCGAGAATCTTTTTTTGCAAAGCGGTATACATTTCTTACTTCTTTATTCCCACATGAATTATGTTACAAGATAGAATATATGAAAGATTTAAGAAACATGAAAATATAATGAACCGCATGAAGAATTGAATAAAAAAAGATGTACCGAAAATAAACAAAGCGGAATCGAAAAAAACTGTCAGATAAAATAAGCAGAAGCTATTCGATCGAAACTGAAAACCGATAACATTGAATTAAATTGGTTGCCAACGTTTGAAAAACATCTTTATAATGATATTGCAACGTTATGGAAAATAAAGGAACAGCTTTTTATCCTTCAAAAAAAAAGTTTGTATATTTGACGTTCAAAATCGATATCGGTATGCTTATTCTGATATTCATCTCTTTTTTTATGTAAAAATAGTGATAGAAGATCAACTGAAGTCTACCGGGAAATATGGATAATAAACCAGTAAATGGCTCAAAAAGGAATGCTCTGTTGATTAACATTTATTCATCAAAAGTAAAATGGCATCTGAGAAGGTAATCAAGCACAGATTTAAAATGCATTCCATGTCTTTGAAAGTGGTTTTCCTTGTGGGTCAATTACTTTCTCATTTTGTGTTATATTTATTCCATGGGTTGTTTGGGGCTCAATGTGTTTTGAATGTACACTTGAATTTTCATGCTCTTGTTGCCAAAACTACGATGCAAAATAGATGCCATTATAGTTTCAAGTATTTTGTTGATGCTAGTCTTCAGCACGACCCTTGTCTGCTGCCATTATGAGTGTAAAGGTCGACCAAAAAAATGGTTATTGTCGTTTGTATCGAATTCATGTTTTTAATGCGCTTTTCATATTTTACATCGCATTAAGCTTCTAACATTGATGAACTGTGTCTGCGGGGCGTATTTGTCAGTTTATCGCCTTCAGTTTCTCAGCATTTAATCGAAAGTAAATCTATATGTGTTGTAATCGAAGCAGAACATCGTTTGACATAGTGTTGTCTTGATGGCTACACTATTTTCTAATGGCAAACAAAAGCAATGTTATCTTTTTTGCAACTCTTTTTCTTCCATTTTCAAGCTTAAACCAACGTATCTTCGTGGTAATAACCATTGTTTGAGATGTTGTTAACGCTGATGTGTTCACAATAAACGTCAATTACTTCAGTATGTAGGAAGCGATGCACAGCTGAAGTGCAAGGCTCTTGTGTCACATTAATGGTGTTCTGCCACAAAAAAACATACTGCAAACGTAAACATGGCTGCCGTATTAGGGGGCTGATGCCAAAAACGAAACAGTCCAACCGAATTTTATTCACCAAAGAAATAAAATCTTTTCTTCCCAGAGATGGAAACTTTTGAGCGTATTTTCCTTTTCCCTTATTATTCACCAAATAATGAGATTAAGTATCGTAATTTTTCTTTCGAACGCTTCTCCAGATTTGACTTTCTCTTTTACTTGGGCCGAACGAAGGGCAATGCGGAAAATATGCAAACGGAAAATCTCGTTTTTGTCAAGAGAGCGATAAAGCGTGGAGATTCGAGCGAAAAATAGATGAAAATGAAATGAAACGTACTCGGGGCATTTGTAAATCGGATTGATGGATCGTTTGGATGAAATAACATAAGATAATGGATTTACTTCACGATGAAAGCAAACAGAACGGAAATCAATCGATTTGGGGTAATATGCATTTTCTATAGACAAAAACCCATCTAAGCATTCGCTCGGGATTGTGAAATCGAATGTTCTTTTGTGTCTTTTGTGATTTGTGCACCGATTGAGGGGATTTTTTTCTCTTCATTTCATTTCCACCCGTTGGTGTAATCTAGGTGAATTGGTAAATGTAATTGAGAAAGGTTTCGATTACGTATTAATTGCATGCGAAGTACTCTTGTCACCGTTGATATTGCTTCAATCAATTGAAATTAATTTCCGGTTGTGACCGTTTTAATTTCATTGATTTAAACTAATGGAAATGTCTTCTTTCGCACTTGAAATGAAGGAAAATGATTCGGTTTGTTATGATGTCACTCGCGAAAAGTATTGTTCTTAAAAACTGAGAAGAATCATTACCAATTAATGACACTTAATTCGGTCGACAAAATTCGATTAAATTTATTTTGATTTGAAAAGGAACAAATTCAACATAATTATACTGGAACCGAAGGGCACATTTTTGTAAAACATTACTCCACATAAAATCAATAACTCAATTGAGTAAATCGTTAATCTTATTATTATTATGTAACATGGTATAAAACACAAGTTTGCAAATATCGAATCAAGACTCAAACAATTGAAAACAATTTGTTTGTACATACCAAGAACACAAAAGATCCATCATAAGTGGCAAATCTTACTTCGGTCTCTAGAGTACCGAAAAAAAGTTTCATCGCTTGATTGCAAATAAGATAAATATATTGGGCGATTATTTAGCTTGACTTGAATAAATTATACACTTGAAATTCTCCATATTGAGCGGTAACCATGCAGGCTTAAATGCCATTGAACGCCAAATTGGTTTTCCGTATTAAATGTAGTGTGCGTATGCTTGGTGCTCCCATCTCGATAAACGATAAGTATGTATATGCTCGCTGTTTTATGTTTAAACAATGAATCGAACGGTCGAATGTGTTTGTTTGGTGATGGTTCATGTGTCATGAAAATTGTTCGATGACGCGTTAAAATGATCTTCTCAATTACCCTTCAATACATTGGGATATTTGGCCGGAACGATGAGCGTGCGTCTTTGCAATGTCTGACACAATTTATTTTGCAGCAACACAACATTTTTATTATAACGACAGCGCGTTTAATGCCGTTTATTTATGGGGTCGAATTTGAAATGTGTTGCTGATGCTTGTATCGATTTCACATGAATTGGGTAGCAAATACGCGCTAAGTGCGACCGCACTGAATGACGATACCCATACGAGCTACACAAGAACAGAAAATTACCGATGTAAGCATTACATATTGAAAAGATGAATTTCCTATCATGAAGGTGAAATGAAATGAAATGAAATAAAATCGACTCATAACAATCTAAGGGGATGTCGTTGTATTCCCCAGCTCCTTTCTTCTATTCTATCATGTGCTGGATCCCTTTTTTGCGCTTGATTTTTATGGTTTACTGTTTCTTGTTTTGTTTCTCGTTTCATTTGGTTTTATCGTGGAAAATGTATTGTCGAGCGGAATATTTACAGAGGAGTAAAGCAACGATGAAACGAAGGAAAAAAATAATGTAATGTGATGGTGGTAAACCATTTCGATACAAATGAATGATGCGATCTCAACGAGAACGACAATGACGTTGCTATAGGATAAAGAACAATAGCATATAGTTCAAGTGTCATGATTTTTATGGTGGAAGATTTCTTATATTACGTAATTCAACAACGTACGTATCAGCATTTTTCCGAGGCCATTCCGTCTTTGCTTTTGTTTCCATTGCATTGGATGAAAATCACCACACTGTTTGTTGTTGATCCGATGCGCAGTTGGCTATTTCAATCCTATTAGGGAAGTTTTTTCTTTCTTTCTTTCTTTTCCATCCATGTCGGTCGTTCGCTTTATTTTCGGTTAGATCTCCGAAGTGATTTATTTCGAACTTTTTTATTCGTCAATATTCAATTCCATTTACTATAACAATGGTTTGTGTGTTGTTGGTATTTCCTTCCGTCGGGACATAGTCGATAGACGAGAGAAAAAAACGTGGAGAACGAAAGAGAGTGCACACAGCACTGCAATGGACACATTTACAATCTCGTAAATTGTAATCATTGTCACTATCGTGTGGCCACACATTGCAAATTCAACGCATTCGTAAACTCGAGCAGAATTTTATTTTTATTGCCAATTTTCTATCGTGGTGAGTGTGTGTGTGTGTGCGAGCGCGCTTATGTTTGTTTCAGCAACTTTTCCACTTAAATCTAGTGGATGGAATTCGGTTCGGCGTCACTAACACACAAAATCAGCTTACCATATCGATGGGTGGCATACGAATTTTCCGACAAACCAATATAAATTCTGCACACTTCACTCTTCGAATGCCTGACATATTCGATTGCATTGTTTTATTTACTCAACTTGTATGCGTCTACTAGATTTTGATTCTGCTTGATTGGATTTTGAGGAGGTTTTTTTATGATTATCACCCTTTGAAAAATGTTCTGTGCATCGGATTACAAATCGATCGAATGTTTGCACTTGTGCACAACACAGAAAAAAATATATATGCGATTTTGTACGAACTCTTTTTTTCCACTCTCTCGATTCGCAACGAAAAAATGACTTCATGTTTTAGAGCGTCTTGACGTCAAAGTGGGCAAATCACATTCTTCTTTTGCAATCAAGTATGCGTTTTTCTGTTTTGATGCTATCGTTACTTGGTATTGCTTGAATTTGATTTACAACTACCCAAGTAAAGTTGAATATAAAATAGAATCGATATGGAATTCGATTGGATCGAGGTCAATAGAAAACTTTCAAATAAAAAAAAATTGATTGTTCAATATATTTTCAACAAATTGTTTAATGTGTTCCACAAAATTGCTTACCTTATCATCATCTCCTTCGCTATCACACTGTAAAGGGAAAGAAGCATCGAATCAGTAAATTTATTCGATTATAAAAAGGAGCGCTCTACATTCTCTGCAGAAATGTTTTTGTGTTCCGACTCAATCACAATAAATGGTTGTTTTGAATGTGTGTCTTGAGAGTAAGTTTATTTTTTATTTACGACATGCCAGCATCTTTTTTAAATTCCAGAAGTGATAATAAACTCGAATTTTTCACATGCACAATGTATATTAAAGTCACAAACACAAAAACTATTCGAACGCACAGCGCAGTTGCACTGTTAACAATTTTATTTCTGCAAAGAACGAAAGTAACAAAAAAAAACTAAAATTAAAAATACTTACGATATATCCTTTGCCAGAACTGCATCTACTGCTCGCCTGTATAATGAGAATGCGAAACGAAACCGAAAAATGATCAGTTTTAAATGTCGAATGTGAAATTTTACTGCGATTTTCTATTTAATTTGTTTCACATCGGATGCTTGGGTATGGAATTGCCAATGTTACGAATCGAAAACACAAACTTGGATGTTACATAGTTGCACAATAATATTGGTTTTGAAAAACTTGTTTGGGGCAACTGTACTTATTCTCAATCCCAATTCGCAAAGAGTATAAAAAGGCATGTGCCGAACGGAGCCAAAAGCGGAACTGTTCGAGCTTTTATGCAGTAAATTATCTTTGTTTTCGATTGTTTCAATTTGAACAGTGCATTTATTGTTTTATTTTGGCCAAATGAAAAGCAATTACAGAAACAAATGAGCACCATATTTTGTGAAGAGACTCAATGAAAAGACGAGTGCTCATGCATAGGGAAGCTGAGCGCAGAAAAATCTTTTTGTGATTGATCAAATTAGCCGAAAGACAAGCTCTCACTGCGCCATTCCATTCGGAAATTGAAAAGCGCTCACATGCAAACCAAACGAATGATTCCAACATCTGCTGCTTATTCGATTTAGTTTTAAACAAAAGTTTGTGCTTTGCCTGGAAATGAGATAAAACTACCTACAGCAAGATAAAACGAAACTTTTCCACACACACACATATTACCATTTTGTGCAAGCAGAATTGGAATCAAAACGTTGTGCTCACTTCTATAATTGGATTAAATGTGAGAACATTTTCAATTCACGAGAAAAACCCGATGAAAACCTATTGGCGAACGTAATTCCCATTGAACGCTTTTGAAAACGAGACGTAAATCAATATTTATGATTTTGTACCGAGACTTCGTACGAATGTGATTGCAAGAATATTGCTAGCTTTTTGTCTTCTTCAAACCGTAATAACACCTTAAGCTGTGCAAAAATGAATCGAAACTTCATTGGTTTTCCATGCGGATTCGTAAGCATCGACGCTTCTTTTGTCACCACCTTAAATTGAAACCGGTTGACTCAAACAATATGAAAAGCAATACTTACATCACTAAGTCTATCCCTCGAACTGTCAGCATCTCTTGGTGCAACCGATGATGTAGTCAATCGTTCCGATGCTCTGCCGCTATCGTCTGATGTTCCCGGATCGTTTGCTATTGTTAGTGAATTCTGTGGAGAGAAAGAAAAAACAACGGTACAAATAGAAACAGTGAGTGATGAAGAAAAAAAATGAAGAAAATATTAAGAATCCATAAAAAGTTATGACAAAATGGGTTTACACAGTACGACGACGAGACTGTGAGACTTGCAGATACAAGTCAGGCGGCAACATTCTTCAGTATCAATAAGTATTGAGCACAAAAACTTTTCAAACTAAACAAACGTATCGAATTCAAACTCATGAAAAATCGCAAAAACCGAATAAAAAGAAAAGCGCCATCGACAAGGATTGAAAAGTTTTCGAAGCAGAACGGATAATATGTTTTCGTCAAATTCCATTTAACCGCATTCGAAAAACTTTCCACCCATCACATGCTTATTCTCGTTTTATTTATCCTTTGCGTGCAATTTGCTTTTCCACTTGCTTCTTACTTGATTCGATTCTTTTGCTTCGAACAGAGATTGGCTGAGAAATGCACTTTCTTACAATTTTCGCCACTCTATCTCCTCCTTGCTGCATTTTCTTTCGCTACAAATATCGTTCGACGCAAACGAAGTTGCAGAAGAAAAAAGCATTTTTCAATTTATTTTTCCAATAAAATTTCGATCGATCCCCATGAAGAAATTGGAAAAGTAGAACGAACAAACGCGATGCTTCGGCCAAAGATTTTTCGATACTTTGTAACAGTTGAATATGTTTTCCGATTTCTTTTTTTCTTTCGTGTATGTTTCCGAACGGATTTGGAAGAAAATTGTAAATATATGTCGCTTATTGAATTCAAATGCACGGCACCGCTTGAAAAAGTCGCTCACATATGACATTTACAAGAATTTTTTGAAATGGAATGACGTCTTGCCGTGAAACTAACAACATTTCACTCTGGTGAACAGGTTATAAATTCATGAAAAATATTGAAAAGTTATTTGTCAGTTGGAATGTAGATATGGTTTTTGCGGTGTTGAATTTTACAAAATCGAATCAATGTAAAGTTTATCGAACGAACCACTGAACGAATGAGAGAGTCTATTGGATTGTGCGGCAGTAGTGCAATTAATATGTAGCAAATCCAAGCTTAAATCACGAACTCATTCAATACGCATATCGAAATGGTAATTATACTTCATTTGTGCTGGAAAAATATCTGCATTTATATTTACGCGCTAATGAATTAGTAAATGAAATCTTATATTTATCGCCTTCGTGATTCAGTGGAAACGGCCAGTGACGTTTATTGATTTCAGAGGAATGAAAATAACGGATTGCAAAAAACCGGAGTTGAAATTCAGTCGACATGTAAATATAAAAGCAATAAATTGCTATGTCAAATAGCCAATGGCTACCAATCACGATCGTAGCCAAATATAGCTGCATTTCACCGTTCTATTGGAAAACGTTATTTTTATGTGATTTTGTGGCGAACGACAAAAACAGGCATTGAATAGAAAAATAGAGCAAAAACTCATGCGACCATAAATATTATTAGTATGTTTATGGTATACAAAGTGTTCGTGAAACAGAGTCAAAAGGATAAAAACAAAAAAAAAAACCAAAAAAACACTTGATAAACATCGAGCACACGACAAACATCGTTTTGCTAGCTGCAGGCCGATTGCAAATTATCAAATTAAATCCAACTTTGGAATTCAGCAAATACGTTTTCCATCGGTACATTATGTATGGTGTGCATAATGTACTACACATATGGCGGCGACTATTGAATAATCAAAGCTCATGCAATTAATGTATCATTTTCAGCGAAAAATGTACCACCGAAACAGGTATGGCGCGTAAGTGCTAAATGAAGCGAAATGCCTTATTTTGAACAGATTTCGAACAACGAAACCGAGCGTGTGTTGTCGAACGAATGTGAATAAAAACGAAAATAAAACATATTGATCACAATGGAGCATTAATAAAATATTCGCGTACAATTCAATGTAAACAACATCGGATTGGCTTTCGTACATATTTCGCAATTGGAAAAAAATGCACGTACATTCATCATTGCCGAATTCGAAATTGAACGCTAATTAATATTGTAAATGGAATTACACAGACAATATGGGCATCGAACAGACATATATCACATACTATTATCGGAGACTGTGAATTTTTTGTTTTCATTCACGCCATTGGTATTTGATATACGCTCGAAACGCAACGAGATTGACAAAGTGGTCCAACATAATACAAAAGAATTTCGATTTTGCACCGAACACCAAAAATATTCACGTAAAATGTCAAACTTGTCATGCCGAAAAAAAATTCGCCCCTCCTTCGCTCACTCCCTCCCCGAAAAAGGCATCAAAATGGAACAAAAGAACCCAGACGAAATTAAAAATGTCGATGCACGTGAAACACACGCTTTGAATTTACAAATAGAATAACCAAATATCAATGTCGTTGAATTTTCAACGAAATGAACGAAATAAACAACAACAATGGCATTCAACATGGAATACCGGGAGCAATATGCGAAAATTTAATTTATTGTGTCAAGTTCGGAGTATTTTTTCCGTCGATTGATATTCGAGGAACATGGACATTTTCGTTTCGACCCAAAATCAATAAACAATGACATTTTTTTCTGCTCACCATCGCCGTGACTACACGCATCACTAGCAGGGCATTTTGAGGTTTTTTTAACATTTCTCTCTCTTTCTCTGGATTTATGGTTTTTATTTATTGTCACTTTGTATTCAGTGCACACAGCAAAGAATATAAATCTGAATGTTTTTTGTCTGATTTTTTTTGTGCTTTTTCAGCGTACCGGCATCATTACTCGGGCACAAATTTGTATGGAATCTTGTATAATTTGCTTAAATATTTGCTTTTGACGTGTTTGCTATTTTTTGTTTGGTTTTGTTTTTTTGACTGTAATTCACTTGATTTATTTGTACACGGTTTTTTGCTCTACCTTTTCCATTGATCCCAAACGAAATCGCAAATTTTGGGCCATTGATACGCAAATTAATGCCGATATACATTCTTTTCTCTCTCTCTCTTTCGAATGATTGCATATTTTGTTCTTTTCAGCATTGACATTGTTAGATATTGACAATAGAGAAAAGATTTTTGTGTCATGATATTTCTTTTATGTATCAATTACATTTTTCCACTCAATAATTCACCGTATGTCAATGTATTCGGTGGCATAGCATCAGATTGAGCATTTTCCATTTGGTTTGATGATCGTATATATCGAAAATGGATAATATCCCATTCATATTGAAATCACAATCATTTTTTTCGAGCACACGAAAAAGTCAACGTTTATGTTATTTCTGTCATCGTCTTGGTTGGATGTGATGCGAAACCCCCCTCTTCGTATAACCACTAAATATTTATGACTTTCAGGACTATTTCCTTTTCGATTTAATAGCTTCGAGCTAAAGCGCAACACAAACAATGTCGTTGCCATTTCCATCTCCAATGGTACAAACTCGTAAATAGATTATGCTTCTACCCGCAACAACGACTTGCCATCCATTTTCCACATCAATCTCTTGTTCATCCATTTGCTCCGCTCAAGTGAAAAAAAAAAAAGAAATGCGTATATCAAGTGATGTGATTTCCTATTCTTATCGAACAAAATCTTTGAAAATCGTTTATTGTTTGACCAATATGTTTCGGAGCAGTTGGTTTATTTTTTTGGGGCACGCATACGATAAACTTTTGTGCGCTATCAAATAAGAGTATACGAACGATGGAAAAATGGTACAACGGAGCGAATAAAGTATCGACAACAATGGCAAAGAATCAAAGACAGCAAAGAAAAGTACTAGTATACATCGGGGTAGTTTTTTTTGATAGAAAATGCAGTATCATCCAACTGTGTGCTAGTCTCATTGGTTAATATACTAGAGAGATAGAAATGAAACCCGATAACCAAATAGTACTTTTACCGAATCAACAACACGATGAACAAGATATGAGAGAAAAACGCAGTAGCAAATACCACTTGAGACCAATCACAATAAATAAACTTGCACACATTGAAGCGATAGAGTTAAAGATCCAGTGAAATGGATGGCGATGATTCGCTTCAGCAAAAATTCAAGCGATGCCGAAAAAGAAGATGAGGAAAAATATACAACCGTGGCACAAGAATGCCCCAAAGAAAATAAAATATAAATTCGACAACAGGAGCGATGCTGTTTTTTTCTCTCTTTCTCGTTCGTTCGATTGTTTGTTTGAAAAACATTGAAGTGCCTTGCACGCAAAATGTTCCAATAAAATTTGTTCGATTTCATTTTTCGATTCGCAGACACACGCTGAATTTTTATTTGCGGCACAAGCGATTTTTTGTTCATCCCATGTATTGGAGGTGAAAAATAGTATAAATTATTCCGTGTGGGTTTTTCTCTCTCTCCTTTCGTTTTTTTTTTTTTTTTGAATTTTTATTGTTTTGTTTACTATCTTTCCGAAAACCTTTTGAAAAGTGCGAGCGCGTACAAAAACTCAAGAGTTTTGCAACACTCCAATTTTTTCTTCACATTTTTTTCTCTCTCTCGATTTGTTAACTTGAAAATATGTGAGAGATATGTGAAGGGATGCGGCAACGGAGATGGGGCAGCATCGTTATTGGAAAATTCAGTTTGGACAAACATAAATAAAACGAAGCGCAAACTTTTCCAAACTTATTTACTCGTTTTTTCTTCTTTTTTGCTATTGTTGTTGTTTATGGTTCGTTTGAGAGTATAGATATTGTAACAAATGGCCAAAATCAATGGTATAACAGCACAGACTGGATAGAAACTATAAGTAAAACTAACTTTTCATTTTGCTATTAATTTCATTTTAACCATATGATTTTTCGACAAACTTTAACAAAATTTATGACCGCATCGATACCAAATCACCACTTGTTAATAATAATTGCGGAACGAGTTTATACGTTGGTATTCGATTGCACTGAAAATACTTCTGAATCAATTAAAAACATAGAAATACGATATCTGTGATGACATTGAAATTAATGTGCAATTAAAAGCTCATTTTGTAACAC